TGCTTTATGATCTAGGGACACCATAATTCTCCCTCACAACCATAGGATAACTCCATGGTTGACATAACTGAATTACTTTTATGTTGATCAAACATAGATAATTATCTTAGACTGACTCTTTATTTTTGCTTCGCAATCTACAGTCCAACATACCTAACCACATGATTACATCTTAATGAGATTTTCCAGACAAGATTTGGCAGTAATAGTTTATTGCTGAATTAACAATAAGATAACACTTCTTTAGCATTTCATCACTTAACCACTACCAAATGTAGACAAGAAGTCAAAGCTTTACTTTGTGCATTCAACAGGATTAGGACACAAGAAACAGACTTGAGAAAAAGGATACCAAATTATACAGCATGAGAACAGGGTGCTAATTGGTTGGACTACTGTTAGCATGAATGTGCAGCAAAAAGAATTAACTGTCAACCTCAGTTCTCAGACAAGCAGGTCAACTCATCACCCATTACTCATTATGTGGAAAGTAAAATGTCTTTCTGACTTGGAGGCAGCATCTGAGTAGTGGAGATAACCATTCATGGATTTACCACAAATTAGCAGTGGGGGATAGCTATCATCACTTCTCGAATTTTTTTTTTGGACACATTCCCCTTCCAGTGTAATCTAATGTAGACTAGGCACCATTCAGGACCAAAATTAGTGGGCATGGACCTTTTCATGAGGTTAGTATATACATGATGATTGATCAAAGTAGCCATTGTAACCCAAGGTAGTTTTGAGATGTCCTATCCCAGCATCAATATCCTATACAGTCACAACATGACCTCCCAACTCCTACACTCAATGCACTGACCAATAAAGGCAAGCACACCAACTGCCTCATTCACTATCCTGTCTACCTGTGAATCCACTTTCAAGGAACTCTGAACCTGCTCTCCAAGGTCTCTTTGTTCAGTAACACCCCCTAGGACCTTACCATTAAGTGTATAAGTCCTGCCCTGATTTGCCTTTCCAAAATGCAGGACCTCACATTTATCTAAATTAAACTCCATCTGCCACTCCTTGGCCCATTAGTCCATCTGATCAAGGTCCCATTGTATGCTGAGGTAACGTTCTTTGCTGTCCATAACACCTCCAATTTTCGTGTCATCTGCAAACTAACTAACCATACCTCCAATGTTCGTATCTAAATCATTTATATGTTTGTTTGTGGAGGCAGCATGCCAGTCTGTGCTTGTGAGCCTCAGAATTCCATGTCCAACATTAGATGTGATTCTGTTTTTGGACAACATTTATCAACTAATCCAGACTGTGGTGAGAACTACATCAGAAACCAATTTATGATTTTTAATCAAGCTTGCAATGTAATTCATTTGCACATGCTAGAAGCTACAAATATTAACACACACGACCCTGCTTTATGTTGGGAAATGAAATTCATACATACATTGCATCTTTTTCATTGGATGTAAAAGGGTCATTGAGCCAACTAATCTGCTGCATTCCCATGGCAACACTCCAACCATGGCAGCATGGTGACTCAGTGTTTAGCATCGCTGCCTCACAGCACCAGGGACTTGGGTTCGATTCCAGCCTTAGGTGACTACATGTGTGGAGTTTGCACGTTCTCCCCGTGTGCATGGGTTTCTGTCAGATGCTCCGGTTTCCTCCCAAAGAGCAAAGATGTGCAAGTTCGGTAGATTGGCCACGTTAAATTGTCCGTAATGTCCAGGGATATGCATGCTTGGTGGATTAGCCATGGGAAATGCAGTATTACAGGGATAGGGTTGCAGGCCTGGGTGTGGAGATACTCTTCTGAGGGTCAGTGCAGATTTGAGGGCTGAAAGGCCTTTTAACACAGTATAGGGAATCTATGAATCAAAGTCAATACCTTGTCTGAGACATAAGATTAACAATAAATTGTTCCAGCTACATCTCCTGTTTATGAAACTCAGTTCTAATGTATATTTGTAAAAGGAAAACCCCAATCTCACAATGAGGGGACATACAAGAGGGAAAAACCTACAGGACCTCATCCTCACCAATCTATCAATCACAGATGCATCTGCTCATGGCAAACTTGGTAGAGGGGACCACTACACAGACTTTGTGGAGATGAAGTTCTATCATCCCATTGAGGATACTATCCGTCATGTTGTGTGGCACAACCACTGTGCTAAACGGAATAGATTTTGAACTAATCAATTGAAAACTGTCATCCATGATGTAGTCTGGCCTATTTTAAAATTTATTCATGGGACATAGGCGTTGCTGGCTGGCCAGCACTTTTTTTTTTGTCCATCCTTAATTACCGCTCCAACTGTCTGCTCTTGATCATCAGAAAAGTAATGGAAGATGCCTGTGTGAGTGTTATCAAGGAGCTCTTACAGAACAATAAACTGCTCTTTGGTGCTGTACTTGGGTTCAA